CTGGATTAACATTTCGGACATTCCATGTTCCGCTTATTAATGAATGTTTGCAGATGGTTTTCCACATTTTGATCTTTGCTCCATCAGCAAATAAAGGTTGTAAAAGCTTTATTCCATTCATGTCATCACAGTCAACTCTACTTTGAGGATGTAGCTCTACTCCAGTTGTATCTTGAGTGACTTCCAACCTTATGGGCTAATCTTTTGGCATTATACCTGACAATATCCTGGTGCTGTTCATCATGTTTTAATATTCAGTATTCTGGTGCTGACAATATTCTGCTGCTATTCGTATTTTCATTGACTAAATATTTGGAAGTAATCCCCCTCTTCTTCGTCCTATTCTGCCGTTGAAACCTGTCCACCATGGGTGACCCTGCTGGTGTTTAAAATGCTGATGCCATAACTTCCATAATCACAACAACAGGCAAGCCACCACAATACCATAAACTCACAAACGAGTGGCGACTCTTATAGTTTAGGAGGCTAGAAGTCCAAATTCAGAATGCAAGCCCTTGGAGAAGGTTTTCTCTTTCTCAACTCTGGGAAAAGGTCCTTGTCTCCTTTCAGCATCTGTAGCCCCAGTACTCCTTGGCAATCTCTAGACACATACACCTTGGCATCAATCTTCCCCAGGATCGGAGCTTCACAGTGCAAGGCCCCTAGGGCCAAAGAACACACTCTACTCCTGCCCGTTTTATCTTGTTGGCAATAGATTGTCAGAAATGAAATGGAATGCATAAAGATCAATATCCTAGGCATTAATGAGCTGAAATGGACTGGTATTGGCTATTTTGAATCTGACAATCATATGGTTTACTATGCCAGGAACAATAAATTGAAAGTATTGGAGGGAAATGTGTAAAGACCTAGAGTTAGAAAACCTGAATCAAGCCTCGACTGCAGTATTGGATACCATATTACAATACTGAATGATGCAGAAAGCATCAGTCAAAAGAAGATGGAAGGAATACACAGACTCAGTGTACCAAAGTGAAATGGTCCATGTTCAGCTATTTCAAGAGGTAATATATGATCAAGAGGCAATAGTACTGAAGGAAGAAGTCCAGTGTGCACTGAAGGTATTGGCAAAGAACAAGGCTCTGGCAATTGATGGAATACAAATTGAAATCTTTTAACAAACTGATTCAGCACTGGAGGCACTCACTCATCTATGCCAAGAAATTTGGAAGACAGCTACCTGGCCAACTTACTGGAAGAGATTCATATTTGTGCCCATTCCAAAGAGATGTGACCCAGTGGAATACAGAAATCATGGAATGGAATCATTAATATCACATGCAAGTAAAACTTTGCTAACATTAATTCAAAAGCAGCTACAACAGTACATTGACTTCCAGAAATTCAAGCTGGATTCAGAAAATCATGTGGCTCATTGCTAATGTCAGATGGATCTTGGTTGAAAGCAGAGAACACCGGAAAGATGTTTACTTCTGCTTTATTGACTATGAAAAGGCTTTCAACTGTGTGAATAATGACAAATGACAGATAACTTTGCAAATAATGGGTATTCCAGAACACTTAATTGTACTTATGGGGAATCTGTACACAGACTAAGACGCAGTTGTTAGAGTAGAACAAGGGGGTGGATACTGAATGGTTTGAAATCTGGACAGGCGTGTAACAGCGTCCTATTCTTTCACCATACTTAATCAATTTGTATGCTAAGCAAATGATTTGAGAAGCTGGATTTAAATATATATAAGGAAAGCTTATTAATAACCTGCAATATGTAGATGATACAACCTTGCTTGCTGAAAGAGAAGAGTACTTAAAATATTTACTGATGAAGACTACAGTCTTCAGTATGGATTGCACCTCAGTGTAAAAAACAAAAATCCTCACAAGTGGACCAATAAATATTACTGCAAATGGAGAAAAAAATTGAAGTTGTCCAAGACTTCATGTTGCTTGAATTCACAACCAGTACTCATGGAAGCAGCAGTCAAGAAATCAAACCTTGTATTGCATTAGGTAAATCTGTTGCAAAAGATTTCTTTAAAGTATCAAAGAACAAAGATGTCAGTTTGAGGACTTAGGTGTGGTGTGCGTGACCGAAGCCATGATATTTTCAATTACCTTGTATGCATGTGAAAGTTGGACAGTGACTAAGGAAGACTGTAGAAGAATTGATGCATTTGAATTACTGTGTTGGAGAGGACTATTAAAAATACCATTGAGTACCAGAAGAACAAGTATGTCTGTCTTGGAAGAAGTAACGCCAGAATGCTTCTTAGAAGCCATGATGGCAGCACTTCATCTCTAGTACTTTGGGCATGATTTCAGGAAGGACCAATAACTGGAAAAGGACATCATGCTTTGTAAAATGGAGGACCAGTGAAAAAGAGGAAGGCTCCCCAACAAGATGGATTGACACAGTGGTAAAAATAATGGGCTCAAACCTAACAATTGTGGTGTTTTGTTCTGTTGTGCATGGGGTTGCTATGAGTTGGGACTGACTAGATGGCACCTAACAACGACAATAACAACAACAACAGCTATCTTGTGCAGGAGTGGAAGCCAGGAGACCAGTTAGGAAGCTGCTGGAATTCCAGTTGAGGAAAATCCAGATGAGGAACTAGAGGCTTGGACCAGGGTGATAGCAGTGGGGGTGGTGAGAAATGTCCATTGGAGCATTGATTTATCCTGTAGTTGATAAGGAGCTATTGAAGACTTTTGATCCATGAAATACCATGCTCTGTGTATTAAAACTGTGGCAATTAATGGTGTCACAAAGTTTGTCACTGTTTGGTGGTTTGGTTTTATGCTGATGTCCTTTAAGTTGCCAGTGACAGAATGCTTAATAAGAAATGTAGACAAGAGTGAGTGAAATTGTAAGAAACTGAAATATTCTGAGAAGTGTTTTGTGTATGTGTGTGTACCTGTGAACCAGTGTGGAAGATGTGGCTGCATGAGGGAATCTGCTACCGTCAACACGTGTTCTCTCCATGTGTCTGACCCCAAGTGACAGGTTGTGCCTCAGTCTTGTGTAGACACATGGGGAAAAGCAGAGAGAGCATTGTCCACATGTAGCTTCAGAGAAACCATCTTTATAGCACCCTGATTCCAAAGGGAGAGATAGTAGCCTTCCTAGAAACATCAGCAACAGTGAGCTGAGAGGATTCTGAAAACCTCATCTAGGCCCATCCTAGGGTTTGGCATGAAGGGCCAGCCCCACCTGAGGGCATTTACCAGGAAGGAAAGAGAGATGGGTAGCAGTCGTGCATCTGCTGTGTGTTTGCTGGAAGTGGTGGGTGGGAGGTCATGGCCATCATTCTATAGGCCCTGTGCTGCTGTAGAAATAAGGTAGCAGCCTGGTCTAGCACTGTTGTGTTCTGTCGGCAGTTCCCACTTTAGTGACCCTACATCTTACAAGAGCAGAAAGGCTCAGCTTTCTTCCAAGGACCAGCTTGAGGATTCAAACTGCTGGTCTTGTGGTTAGTGGTCCAGCACGTCAGTCACTGTACCACCATTGAAAATATGAACTAAACCAGTGAAAAACAAGCAGCAAGATTAAAAACACAAAATTAAAAATAAATAGTGGAGGTTTCCCTTTTAATGCGCTCTTACTACATGGCAGACTCTCAGTTAGGCATTTTATTTAATCCATTGAATCCTTCCTGCACCATTTTATAGCTAAGAAAACCAAAGCTAAGCACTCACTCTCAGATTTAAGCTTCAGTCTCCTTGATTTCAGAGCTCATACGTTTTCCTGTCTGTCTTACCGTTTCTGTTCATTTGATCTGAATTGAAATGTTAAACACAGGTAGTAAATGCACTACAGAATTGTGTTGACGTCCATTGCAATGAAGACTTCTTAAAGGGTGACAGTCCCTAAGGGCCGTGTTATTTGTGTGCTACTGAGCAAGAGCATGCCAGGGAACTCTTGGCTCTGACCACTGGGCTCTTCCCCAGCAGCAAGCCATTGCATTCCTAACAACGCCCAGCAACCAGCCAGACACGGCACTTGCTCTCTATGTGCTTCTCATTCTGAATTTCGATCAGAGTGAAAAGTAGAGAGAAGGAAATGAGCCAGAAAATAGAAAATTAATACTTGGTAGAGTCTTCATATTTTAAAATTAATTTATAGGTAATGTCAGATAACTGAAGTTAAATCATTTTATCAGCAAGCTGCTCTAGGGTTTTAAAATTGGCATCCATCATTGTAAATCAAGTCTCAGGAGCCCCAGAGACTCGTCTCTAGGGATGAAGAGTGATAAATGGTGGGCAGAAATGTAAATACTTGATTAGCTGTGTCCTTTTTTTTTCCCACATAAAACCTAAAATATTTCTCCATCACACTGAGTGATAATGGTATGTTAAATAGTAACGGTCGGGGAAGCAGCTATGTAGGTCTATGTTAGTCTATTGTGATACCTTTCTTCCTCCCTGCCAATCCTAGGAAACTGGTTGTGTGAGAGGCTGTCATTCCAGTGAGCACTCCTGGCAGAAGTTCTACAGATAGACTCCACTTCCTTTTGCATAGACTCAGGCTCTGTTGTTGGTTGGTATCCATTGGGCTGTGATTTGTGGCAGTCCCATGTCCAACAGAACAAAACGTCTGACTGTGTGCCGTCTTCATGGTTATTGAATGGTATGTTCATGTCTACTGTTGTGGCCACTGTCTATCTTGAGTGCCTTCCAACCTCGGGCGCTCATCTTTCAGCTCTGTGTCAGACGCTTTTCTGTTGTGAACCTTAGAATTTTCATTGGCTAATTTTCTGAAGTAAATGGCCAAGTCTATCTTCGTCTGGAAGCTTTGCTGAAACCTGTCCACCATGGGTGACTCTGCTGGTCTTTGAAATACCAGTGGCATAGCTTCCAGATTCCTACTCAGATAAGATGCCGTTTTCCCCAGCAGTCAGATGTCCTCCTTTATGCTATGTGCCTGTAAGCAGAAGTATCCACAGGCTTGCTCCATTGGTACAGGGAAAACCTTCTGTGATTAAATGCCTGCCTTTCATCTCTTGTCCTTACAGCTCTTTGTCAAGGGCGCGTGGTGAGAGTCCCTACAGGGAGCCTGGTCCGAGTGGTGGACACTGAGCTGGTTATTCCCTGCAATGTCAGTGACTATGATGGCCCCAGCGAGCAGAACTTTGACTGGAGCTTCTCATCCTCCGGGAACACCTTTGTGGAGCTGGCGAGCACCTGGGAGGCGGGCTTCCCAGCCCAGCAATATCGGGAGCGGCTACAGAGGGGTGAGATCCTATTGAGGCGGACAGGCAATGATGCTGTGGAGCTCCATATAAGGAATGTCCAGCCCTCAGACCAAGGCTACTACAAGTGTTCAACCCCTAGTACAGATGCCACCGTCCAGGGAAACTACGAAGACACAGTGCAAGTTAAAGGTACAGTCCTTTTGTGGGATCATTTATGCCCAGAGGTCAGATCTTCCTCAGCTACCTGGCCACGGGTGACTTTGTCAAGGTCCCTGGGGCTCTCTTTCCTCATAGTTCTAATGGACAAATCGTATTTTACCTGATTAAAGGTAGAGGATGGGCTTGGTGGCTTCTGATTTGCTCCATGATTGGAGTATATAGTCTGAGTCATCGTGTGAGCAGTTAGTTAGAGCCAGCAAGTATGGTGGAGAGTCTAGCTCAGGAGCCAGATTGCCTGTACTGAATTAGTTCAATCCCTGGTCCTTCCACTTACCAGCAATGTGGCTGTGGGCAAGTTACATAAACCTTCTGGGCCTCAGCTTCCTCCTCTGTATATAAGTGTACCTGCCTTAAAGGCACTGAGGACCAAGAGAGCTAATATGTGTGAAGCCTAACAGTGCCACAGTGAGCTCTCAAGGGACACTCTCTCCTTTGAGTGCTCACTAGGGCCATAAACTTCTTGTCTGGGATACTTTACAGCTCATGTCTTTCTTTGTGCTCTTTGTGACGTTAAGTACTTGTTTGTACCAGAAGCTGTTGTGGGTTATACAAAGGGACTTCAACAAATTCATGGGAAAACCCCATTATATTTTCCTTCCGTTTTTGCGTGAACGTTTTGAAGCTCCCTTGTATGGAGAGAAAGAATGGTGTGGTCACTGCTAGCTCAGAATGGAACATGAAATTGACCATTCTGTACAAATAATCACATCTTACATGACACAAAAGGTTAAATGCTGGGCTACTATCTATAACGTTGGAGATTCTAATCTCCCCAGAGGTGCCTTGGAAGAAAGACCTGGTGTGACCTACTTTTGAAAACACTACGGAGCGTAACATTGTACTGAATCAGAATCAGCTTGATGGTTTTGTTGTGGTCGTTTTATAAAACTGGAGTGATTTTTCTGTTTTTTTCTTTTTCCAAGCCCTTTTAGATTTGCTCATTCAATTCTTTGAACCTAATGAAGAAGATAGGGCAGGATATTTCCTTGATTTGCACATGGGGAAATAGAAGATCATAGGTTAATTACTCGCCTAAAAACATAAAGCTAATTAGGAAGCAAGACAGAATAAACTATTTTACTTTGGGGTTAGCAAAACATAAGCATTGTTATTATTTCTTAATTAAGCATTTATTTGTAATCTGCTTTGTTTCAAAGAGGATTTAAGTCAGAGTAAGAATGCATTTAAAGATGAGAAAAATGTGGTGATGTAAAATGAGGGGGTAACCTAGTCATTCATTCTTTTTGTAATGATTAGTGAATGTCGATACCATATAACAGATTGTTGTTGTTCTGTGCTATCTAATCGTTTATAACTCCTAGCAATCCTGTGTAGGGTTTCTGAGGCTATAAACCTCTAAGGGAGATAAAAGCCTCATTTTTCTCCTATGAAGCTACTTGTTGTTGTTATGTGCCGTGGAATCAGTTCCGACTCAAAGTGACCCTGCACAGGGTTTCTGAGGCTGTAAATCTTTACGGGAGCAGAACGCCTCATCTTTCTCCCACGGAACAGCTGGTAGTTTCAAACTGCTAACCTTGAGGTTCACAGCCTGATTCGAAACCCTACTCTACCAGAGCTCCTTCTACTACTAGTGGGTTCAACTTGCTGACCCTGTGGTTACGAGCCCAGCGCATACCTTACTATGCTACCAAGGCTCCCATATGAGAGATGTTGTTAAGTGCTGTCAAGTCGGTTCCGACCTATAGCAAACCCTGGATAGGGTTTCCGAAGATCAGCTGGTGAGCTTGAACCACTGACTGTGGTTCAGACTGACTCTGCAGTCCAGCGCATTAACCCACAGTGCCACACCAGGACTCTTATATACTGGTCCTTTAATGAAGTCTCATGAAGGAAGAAAACAGTCATATGCATTTTATGATATTGGTATTAAAATATATTGTATTAAAACATGAAATTTCTACTTCTTCCATTACTATTAATCCTATAGAAAATCCCAAATATACCAGTATATATAGTGGGGGTTTTTTTTGTTGTCCCATAAGACATCTTTGCATTTGAGTTGAAATCAAGTATTACTTGTATAATAGAGAGGTTACATGTTCATTGGGATCTCTGGGTAGTAGTATAAATAGTTAACATGCTTATCTCATAGTGGGGTTTTTTTGTTGTTGTTTTGAAGTCCCATAAGACATCTTTGCATTTGAGTTGAAATCAAGTATTACTTGTATAATAGAGAGGTTACATCTTCATTGGGATCTCTGGGTAGTATAAACAGTTAACATGTTTATCTCATAACTGAAATGTTGGAAGTTCGAGTCTATCCAGAGGCACCTTGGAAGAAAGGTCTGGTGATCTACTTGAAAAATCAGCCATTGAAAACCTTATGGAGCTCAGTTCTACTCTGATATACACGAGATTGGTATTCCCTGGAATTGACTCAGTATCAGTTTGTTTACAGATCCATTAGTTCAGACTTACCTTATAATTGTCATCTTGAAGAGTCAAAGGGTAGCAGGAAAATTTCCCCTAGTATTTTTTTGTTTCGTTTTCAGCCTTTGGAAGGCAGGAGTAAGAGGTGACTCTTTTGAGGCCGAGAAAGCAAATGAATGACTGAGATTAACTGGCTGGCTGCTCTGTGACAGTGCCTGGCAGGGGCCATGCATGGTCCAGGGTCCTATGGCCTTCAGCTTCATCAGTCTTGTAGCTATTTGTCCGTGCACTGAACGATGAACTTGGCTATGTTAGCCAAACTCAAAACTAATGTCTGTTCTAGGATGCTATCATGTTCATTTTGCTATATAGGTCTTTGGTACTAAAGATTTTTTTTTTACCCATTATCCATAATCATCCCTAACAACTCAAGGACACTAAGTTAGTTTCTGAGAGTGGAATTGGGGAGAAATCCAAAGAGATAATGGATGAGTACGCGTGACCTATAGAATAACCTGATAGATTTTCTCTGCCTCTTGGCAGAGGCCTCTCTCTTGTTGCCAGATTTCCATTGTCCATTGCATATCTCAGGAGGCTTCAAAAAGTTTGTGGGAAAATTTCATGATGGTTTAATTTCATTTCTCCACAAACTTTTTGAAGCCTGCCTCATAGTTTCTCTTCCTGAATAGCATTCACCGTTACTTTCTTAGTCTCTAGCCCTCTATCTCTAGCCTGCAGAAACCTGAGCCTTCTTCCAACAGGCCCTAAGAGAATACATTTCAGCTTTCTCTGGCACATTCCTATCCCATGAATCCATTCTGGTCATCTTTGTCATTTTTGAAAATTCTGCAGAGTACAGTTGCTACTCTAATATAGTATTAGAAATCCAACTTTTTGGTTACCAGATGAGCATGTTAACGGTTTGTACCATCCAGAGATCCCAATGAAGATGCACCATCTCTTTCATAAAACTATTAGAGCATGGGGTCACCATGAGTCAGAGTTCACGTCAATCTTTCCCCACTGCGCATCTTGCTGGCTTAGCTCTCAGACAGAAAACCCAATTCACTGCTGTTGAATTGACTCTAACTCATAACAAAGAACTGCTCTGTAGGTTTCCTGAGACAGTAATTATTTACCAGAGCAGACAGCCTCATCTTTCTCCTGTGGAGTGACTAGTGAGCTTGAACTGCTAACCTAGAGGTTAGCAGCAAGATGCTTAACCCACTGCACCACCAGTGCATCTCTAACTCTCAGAAGAACACCTCATTTCTAGATTCTACGGATGCCCTACTCTTTCCCTCTGTCCTAACTAACCAAGCGGAGGGGGGGGGTGCGGTATTTGGTAACATTGCCATTATTTTATAGTGATTGCTAAGTTCCAGGCACTCTTGTAGATAGGTACTTTCCAGTGTTATTAATGTGTTTAACCTTTGCACATTGACCCCATGAGGTAGGTTCAGTTGTCACCCCAGTTTTAATGATGAGGAACCCAAGGCACAGAGCATAAAATAAGAGCATACCACTAAGGCATAGATAACTGGAGTTCCCACCATTTGGTTGTAGCCACTGGTCAGTGAGTTATCATGGAGTCCACTGTAACTGACAACGACCCCTGTGTATCAGAGTAGACCTGTGCTTTATGGGGTTTTCAATACCCAATTTTTCAGTAGGTCACTGAGTAGACTCGAACCTCTAGCCTTTCCGTTAGCAGCCAGTGTGGTCACTGTTTACAAAACAGGAGGGTTTTATTAGTGCCTCCTCTTTCGATTTATTTTTTCTTGGTTGAATCAGAAAGTCAGTTGGAATGATCTGTGAATCAAATTGGGACAAATTGCCCATGTGGGCATTAGAACGGGAAGAGAAAGGAACATTGTCTCAGGTTGTAGCAGAAGTCGTGTCTCAGACCAGAGAGTCCTAGAAAATGAATGGTACCTGCCACATTGGGCCGACCGTGGACAATCTGACTGAAGCATCTCTTTTCTCTCCGCAGTGCTGGCTGACGCTCTGCATGTGAGCTCCAGCCCGCAACCCTCCCCTGCCCTGAGCCTGCGGGAAGGTGAGCCCTTCGAGCTGCGCTGTTCAGCCTCTACCACCTCGCTGCTGCACACGCACCTGTCAGTGATGTGGGAGGTTCATCGGGGCGCCGCCCGGCGGAGCATCCTTGCCCTGACCCATGAGAACAGGTTCCGCCCTGGCCCAGGGTACGAGCAGCGCTACCACGGCGGTGATGTGCACATGGACACAGAAGGGAGCGACATTTACCGCCTCTCAGTATCCCGGGCTGTATCGGCAGACCAGGGCTTGTACAAGTGTGTGGTCAGTGAGTGGATTGGAGAGCAGAGTGTCTGGCAAGAAATTCAAGAAAAAACGGTGGATGTTGCCACCGTAGTGATCCAGCCAACAGGTGAGTTTCTGCAAAGTGCGTATTTTAGACTATTAATTTTTGCTATTTGAGCCCTGGTGTGGCACTGTGGGTTAAAGTGCTGCACTGCAAGGTCTTTGTGAACCGCAGGGTCAGTGGTTCAAGCTCACCAATCACTCAGAAACCCTACACAGGGTCCCTCTGGGTCAGAACTGACTCGCTGGCACTTAACAATATTTGCTATATAGGCATGTAGTTTTGCTTTGCAGCTGCATTTCATCCCAATTTGTTTCCATGGGAGTTGCAGCATAACAGAGAATTCTAAGGCAACTTTTTTTTCACTAAACGATTAAGTAGTCCCATGGCCAGAATTAGGTCACACCTGCTGGTCAGAGGGCCTCTGGGTGGAGCTGCCCACAAAACCCTGCTCCCATAACTTTATGTGTTTGGAGTTTTCTGAGCCCCTGGATCTACCTTCTCCCCATAGCTGTTCAAATGTGTGCCTAGCTCCCTACAGAGCTGTTGTGTAGCTTGCATTGTTTGGGCCTGCCCTGCAGGTCCTTTCAGCTACACCTCCTCTATGAAGTGGGGGCCTTCTCTGTGCTGGGCCTTTCTTTGCTTTCCTATATGATATACAGTGGGGCTTCGAAGAGTTCGTGGACCAGTTTCCCATTTGACGTTTCGTATGCATTTTGTTTCATCTCATAGATTGCAGTCCTCACAATGTAGCATCACGTATCCCACCCACTTCCTTTGTTCCCTGTTTTCATTCCTCCTTTCCTAACCCATCTGTCCTTAGGTGAATGCTGCCCTTTTGACCTAGAATAGTTGATTATTCTATGGAGTGCATACCTTCTTAGTGTTATTGATACCCTTATAAACTTGTCTATCATGTAACTGAAAATTGAACTATGGGGATGAAGCCTCCTTGTATGTTCCAGGAGTAGTCACCCTACATTTAATACTCAGGAAGCCCTTTGTCTGTCATTTGTGAATTACGCCCCCCCTTCCTTTTTTTTTTTTAAATCCTTGTATTCCAGTTATGGAGTTGTTGTCTGGACCGCTAACCACAGGACCAGTAGTTCATACCCACTAGCCACTCCTTGGAAATGCTGTGCAGGATCACTATGAGTCAGAACCTACTTGATGACACTTAGCAACAATGACAAATTCCAATTATAAGGAGCGGTGTGACTCTTGTAGGATAAGCACTGGACTGCTAACCACAAGGTCAGCAGTTTGAGCCCCACTAGTTACTCCATGGAAGAAAGATAAGGCTTTCTGCTCTTGTCAAGATGTACAACCTCGAAAACCCTATACAGGGTTGCTATGAGTCAGAACTGACTCTATGGCATTTAACAACAATTTCAGAAGGTGCAGTGAGCATTGGGCTACTCAACTCAGGGTCAGTGGTTCAAACCCACAAGCCACTCCACAGGAAAAAACGAGGCACGATCTGTAAAGAATTGCCCTCTCAGAAATCCTAAGGAGCAGCTCAACTGGGTCCTGCAGACTCACTGGGAGTTGGAATCGACTCATTGACAGGAAGTGTTAGTGGTTTATCATCTTCAGATCTCAAAGTACTTGCTGTCATTGCTGCTGTCTCTTGTTCTTAAATGGGTAGACCTTGGCTGGGCTCATTTCCTGAGCTTAAGAATGTGAGTGTGTCCCTGCTCTATGGCTCCAATGAGAAGGAAAGTGGTGTATTTAGCCTTTATAAGCTGCATTGTCCCAAGTTCCTTACTCTTCACCACAACACAGGAGCTGGGTTTGGTTCAAGTTGGTGGCAAGAAGCAGGGCAGAGGTTCCTGAGCAGTGATCCAGGATGAGGTGGGAGCTGCTCTTACAGAGGGGAGGGTTCAGCCCCTCACCTTCACTGGTAGGTTCCACTGGCCACAGGAATCATTTTCCAGGTGAACTTTATCATCTTCTTTATCACAATTGATCTGCCTGGAATCTGCCCTGAGCAACCTCCAGGTATTCCACTGGCATCAAACAGCTGTCTTAATGAGGCAAAAGAGTTATTAAAGTGTTTCAGCTTTGTACCGAGCTAATCTTTTTCTGTAGGATTTCTATCATAAAGGGTTTTTTTGTTTTAACTAAACCATGAAACCCATCATATCTAGTTATAAGACATGGACACTTGTCTTACCTTGAATCTATCAGGTCAGTTACTATATCTGGCTCTCATCCAACACTGTGGGTTCTAAATCTCTCTCTCTCTTATTTATTTTGGTGCCACAGGCATCATGAACAGCCTGCAGACCTTCTCAGATTAATGTGTTTTAATGCATAATATACAGTACATAAAATGGCCAAGGAAAACAATTATATTGAAATTGCTATCAAAGTATTTTTACGGCAGATTTGGTATGTCGTAATGCTATACTTCTCTATTAGCACATTAAACAATGGGCTTAATGAGTAGTCTAACAACTACTGTAGTTTCTAATTGCAATGAATATAAATAGTATTTAAATATATCTACAACAATTCTAATGGGATATGAAAATATCTGTGTTCTGTTGGAACAAGGGCCTAGGAAGAAGTAATATTGCACTGGTTTGTTGTTTACTATCACTGGAAAAAAAGCTCTGGTGGTGCAGTGGCTAAGCACTTGGCTATTAGCTGAAGGTTGGCAGTTTGAACCCACAAGCTGCTTGTGGGAGAAAGGCATGGCAGTTTACTTCCACAAAGAGTATACCTTTGGAAACCCTATAGGGGAGTTCTGCTCTGTTCTAGAGGGTTGCTATGAATTGAAATGGAATAATGGAAGAAGATGCTAAATTTAGGTGGTGGTGGTGGTGTGCTGTGGAGTTAGTTCCCACTCATAGCAACCTTGTAGTGGGTTTCCAAGGCTGTAATTTTTTATGGGAGCAGAAAGCCTCATCTGTCTCCAGCAAGAGCAACTGGGTAGATTTGAACTAGTGACCTTGCATGTAGCAGACCAGCTTGTAACCCACTGTGCTACCAGGGTTCTTTGAATTTAGGTAGATGTTTGTCAAAATAAAAGTGGCCTTTTATCTTTTTTCCTGAATTCTGTGTGTGGACCCCAGTCACGAGCCACTAGAGTGATGGCTTTCTCTTCTTGTTCACACCCGTACTACCTTTTTATTTATTCTTATCACATTGCTATGATAAATGACACCAGACAACTTAACACAACTGTGTTACCTTTCTGTCACTATCCCTGCTTACGATAGGCATGGTCTGGGTAATATAAATCTTGAAGTCTTAATTTACAGATTCCATGATATCCATGAAGAGAAAACCTGTACTATCAAAAGGTTTGTCTGAGGGCCCCTTCTTGCAGAGCAAATCCTTAGAAGGATTCATTTCTCCCCTTCATTCTGCTTCCAGTAGCTTTCCTTTTTCTCAGCAATGACCTGTCCCTCATGGCAGCAGAAGGGAAGGTTGGCCATCTAGGAAATGTGATTAGTAATGTGACAAGATGTTGAGTCACTTGGTGGTGGTGGTTATGTGCCATGGAGTTGGAACCAACTCATAGCGACCCTGTACAGGGTTTCCGAGGCTTTAAATCTTTACAGGAGCAGAACACCTCATCTTTCTCCCGCGGAACAGCTGGTAGTTTCGAACTGCTGACCTTACGGTTCACAACCCAATTCGTAACCACTATGTTACCAGAGCTCCTTGTTGAGTCTTTTAGAGAGAGAAAATTACAAAGTGAACTCTGCAATTGAAGGAACATTTCTGACAGTATTTCTTGTACCTCGGAATTTGTTCTCTCCATAAATACTTACAATCCACAACTGTATTGTGGACTGACTACCTCTCTACTAACCCAGAGAGGACATTGGTGGACTTCTCATCTTTGTGGGAGAACTCAAGGTTGACTCCCATTTACTGTACCTCAGACACAGCCACCATCCGTCTGTTAGTGGGGGCTTGTGTGATGCTCTGCTACTAAACAGACTTCAGGGGAGATTCCACACTAATATAGGCCAGGAAGAAAGGCCAGGTGATCTGCTGCTGGAAATCAGCCTATGTAAATCCTATGGAGCATGATAATAGGATTCTGTTGTGAGAAGGGTCACCATGAGACAGGGCTAACTCTACAGCAGTTAGCAGCATGGCTGGCCAGCAGAAAGTGGTTTGAGCAGTATTCCATGTCTCCGAGTTAGGGCTGGTGCAAACTGCAGAACCAGCTGAGGTAAGCAGTTTCCATACTGAGTCCTATGAAAAGATGCATGCACTCATATTACTTTTGGCCCTTCCAAAGAATGAAGGGAGGGGAAGCAATCTGGAGAGCAGGTAAGAAATTGAGCTTTTCTATTCCTTTTTCTAGTACTAAGCTCACCTCATTTTCTCCCTTCTGTCAAGGTGGATCTTGATCTTGGCTTGAAATACTTGCTTGAAATGTTGTCAGGCTTTGAAAATATTCATACGAAAGTAATTTGTTCCAAAGGCTTTTAGTGTTGGGTGTTTTCTGAACTAGGCACCAACCTTTGCTGCCAAGCTTATTAGAGATAACAGTTGAAGCTGAATGGCTCTTACTAGAAGATCAAGATGTGCCCCCACATGAATCCCACATGGGAAATGTTGGTTATTTATCATCTAAGTAATTGTTCCCAGAGCATTACCACAAATTGAATGTTTTCAGTTCTGATTACAGATGTTCAGGGTTGTTGCTGGTGCTACTGATTAAGTCCCCTGCGTAGAGCAAAGTGTTTCTATAAGATTTGGCAAGAGAATACTGAAACTACATGTGACTGTGGCACCAAATACTTCAGTGTTGCATCTAAGAATGGTCTGCTTTTAATTACCCATGCTAATGAGAGAGGGCAGTGTCCTGGTAAGCCCACTGGTTTTAGAATATAGGTATCATGCTTAATCTTAAGGTGGCTCCTAAGGTCTCAATGGGATACATGGTGGTCTAAGTACAATATAGTTTAAAGACTTGACTCATAAAGAATACTGTCTAGGTTCAATTTTCTGGTCTTTCTGTTTAGGATTTTTTCCATTTTTACCCGTTGTTGTTGTTCTTAGGTGCCACTGAGTTAGTTGGTACCCACTCATAGTGACCTTATGCACAGTAGAACAAAACACTGCCTGATCCGGGGCCAACCTCACTATTGTTGCCACGCTTGAGTCCGTCGATGCTGCCACTTGGCCAATCCATCTCATCGGGAGTCTTCTTCTTTTTCTCTTACGCTCCACTTTACCTGGGAGGCAGTTTAGCCTCACCTCCAGCCCTTCTGCCTCCAGCCCCTCACTGACAATATGTACCAGTTAGAACTGAGCTGTCCTCTAGCTATAAAATCACCCAAGCCAGTTCACACACTTGAAGAAAGTATAATTGTAGTTTTGTGATACTTGGCAGACTTCTTAGCAAACAATAGTGTAGCAATTAAGACCAGAATCCCTGGAACCCCTATTTGAATCCTACTCTGCCACATTTTAGCTGCGTGACCTTGGACAAGTTACTTAACTTCTCTGTGCTCAGTTTCCTCATCAACAAAATGAAGATAATAATAGTACCTTCCTTATAGGGTTAAGGAGCTCTGGTAGCATAGTGGTTACCAGTTGGGCTGCTAACCTCAACGTCAGCAGTTCAAAACTACTGGCCATTTCATGGGAGAAAGATGAGGTTTTCTGCTCCTGTAAAGATTTACAGCCTCAGAAGCCCTATACAGGGTCGCTATGAGTCGGAACTGACTCCATGGCACACTACCACCACCACCACCTCACAGGGTTGTTTTAAAAGATTGTTGTTTTTAAGTGCCATCAAGTCGGTTCCAATGCATAGCAACCCTGGTTATGGTTTCCTAGGAGCATCTGGTGAGCTTGAACTGCTTGAACCTTGCAGTTCAAAATGACTGTGCAGTCCAGTGCATTAACACACCATGCCACACCAGGACTCTGTATTAAAGATTAGTATTTGTAAAACACTTAGAACAGTTCGTGTCTTTACTGCTATTCAATATTTTTATATTGTTTGGTGGCACTGTAGAATAAGCACTGGACTGCTAACCACAAAGTTGACAGTTCAAACCTACCAGATGCTCCACAGGAGAAAGATGAGGCTTTCTGTTTCCATAAAGATTTACAGCCTCAAGAACCATAGGGTCGCTGTGAATCAGAATTGACTGGATGGCAGTCGATTTGAAAATAGATTAAACACAAAATGTTGCTATTTTAGTCATTTTTTAAAACTTTTTATTATGAATTGGGTAAAGGTTTACAAAGCAGATCATCGGTTTTGCAGTCAACAGTTCATACACATTTTGTTTCATGTCATTAATTACAACCCCGTCAATGTTACGAATCGGGCTGCTAATCTCACGCTTAGCAGTTCGAAACTACCAGCTATTCCGTGGGAGAAAGATGAGGCTTTCTGCTCCCATAAAGATTTACAGCCTTGGAAAACCTGTAGAAGGTCGCTATGAGTCAGAACCGACTCACGGCACATAACAACAACAACAATGTAATATTACTTATTCCACTTTCTCCCTGTGTTTCTCCTCCTTTCCTAACCCTTCTGAACTTTGTCCTTGAGTAAATGCTACCGTTTTAATCTCACATGGCATGTACTTCATAATGTTATTGTTCCCCTTATTGTTTGGCTGAAATTTGAGCTGCAAGGAATGAGTTCATTTCCAAACCTGTAGGGAGACTGTGACTAAGGGCCACAGTCTCAGAGGTCCCACCAGGTTCTCTCTGACCAATAAGCCTGGTCTCTTTTATGATTTTGAGTTTTGTTGCACATTTATCTCCTACTCTCTCCAGGACCTCCTAATGTTACCCCTTTCAGAGCAGTTGGTAGAGGTAGCAGGGCATCATCTAGTTCTCCTGGGCTCCAGGTCTTGGAGGCTGATGTAAGCATGGTCCATTTGTCCACTGGGCTAATTGTTTCCATTTGTCTTTGATTGTCCTCACTCTTAACTAGCCACTCTTGAGCTTGTAAGACCCCAGACTCTACTCACCAAAGTAGGATGTCAAACATTGTCTTTGTACACTGTGCATTTTAACCATTTTTCAGTGTCTAATGTAGTGACATTGATTATATTCACAGTATTGTGCAACCATCACCATCATCTATTTCCGTAAGTTTCTTTACCCCAATCAGAAATTCTGTAACCATTAAGCAATGACTCCCTCAGTCCCTGGTAACGTCTAATCTATTTTCTACATCTTTCTTATTTGCTTATTCTAGATAGTTCATTGTTGTTGTTGTGAAGTGCCCTTGAGTCTGTTCAGCTCATAGCGTCCCTTTATAAGGTTTTCAAGGAACAGCTGGTGGGTTTGGACCACCCACCTTGTGGTTAGCAGTCAGTCCAGTGGTGATCCTATGGTGTCACGCCAGATTCCACTAAGTGGAATTGTATAATACTTGCTTTTTTATTATATTTGTTATTTCACCTCGCATGATGTTTTTAAGGTTCATCCATGTTTTTACATGAATGTATACTTCATTTCTGTTTATGGCTGAGCAGTAGTCCACATTTTGTTTATCCAGTCATCTGCTGATGAAGCTATACTAGTATTCTTAAGAAGCAAAAAGAAATATGGTATGTTTCCTTAATTTACTCAAAATGTATGTTTTCAGGTGCTTACATGTGTTCAATCCTTTTTGACTTATTTCTACAAATTAGAATTTTTAAGTAGACGAGCTAAAGGGAGGGGTGTGGAAGGGGCTAACAGAATCCAAATAATCTCGATGTATTTGTTTTTAATTTTTAAGTTCTAAGAACAGCCGTAGCCAGGAACATGTCTGTGGCTGAAGGAAAGGAACTGGACCTGTCCTGCAACATCACGACAGACCGAGTGGATGACATCCGGCCTGAGGTGACATGGTACTTCAGCAGGACACCAGACAGCACTTTGCCTGGCCTCCATGTGTTGGCACGGATGGACCGTGATTCCCTGGTGCACAGCTCTCCTCATATTGCTTTGAGCCACACGGATGCACGCTCCTACCATTTACTGGTTCGTGACATTAGCAAAGAAAACTCCGGCTACTATTTCTGCCACGTGTCGCTCTGGGCACCCAGACATAACAGGAGCTGGCACAAGGTGGCAGAGGCCATGTCTGCCGCGACCGGTGTGGATGTGACCTGGCCAGGTGAGTGATTTGGAGAAGGGCTCTTAATCCCGTATCTGGAGGAGTCTGGTGCTCTGCGTTTTTGCATTATTCCAGCATTCTTTATATCGATATGGCATACTTTAGCCTGGATAGATCCCAAGCTGGGGATGGAGGCAAAGCTGGCTGAAACAGAATCTGGCAGGCAAAGGAAATGTCTAGATGATGTGGACTCAGTTGTCTCAATACCCTTATTTGAGAGGATATAGTTTCCTTTTGTTGACAGATTTGCAGGGTAGGAGCCCGCTGAAAGGCTCTGTGAAATGGATCTTTGTTGCAGGGAGAATGCCGCCATTCTTCTTTTCCTTTTCCTAAACTCTCCTAGGTGCTCTCTAGCAGGAGCTGGTACTTTTCCAAAGCCCGATGCAGAAGGAGAATGAATTCCTTCCGTTAACGGAAAGCAGTTTTTTCCACTGAATGGTGTAGAATCCAGAAATGACTTTATTTGCAGTGAACCTGCTCAATGTGAGAGCCTTCTTCCTTTTCTGATGGGCTCTCTTGCCCCAGGCCCATTTCCACAGGTGGAGGATCAGAGTGGTTCTCAGATGCTGAACGCCTTGCCCTCTATGTGAAGGTCACTGTCCTGTCCTACTTTTTCTACTATTCTCATCTTTCCCAGCTCTTTTTTTTTTTTCTTGGCTAAAAGTTTGCTCTTGCTCTCTGGGCCAGAGTTACCTTGCTGTTTCCTAATTTTGGTTACAGTCTTGTGAAGTGCCGCTGAGTTGATCCTAACTCAGCATCCCTACATAGGGTTTCCGAGGAGTGGCTGGTGAGTTTGAACCTTGAGGTTTGAAGTCAAGTGATGATCCTACAGCAGAACACCAGTAGTCTTACAGTCTGGTGGTTGCAAGTAAGCTTAGAAAGGCTTGTGGAGTGTTTCAGTTTCTGCTCCCATTATTACAAAGTTAGGGACAGGTTTACCAGTCAGATTCTTCCCTAATTTGAGCTAATCTCTCGATTTTTCCACGAGTGTTTTGGGCTCTGACAAAGGCATTCGGGACTGTTGTCATTTTTGTTGTTGTTGTTAAGTGCCGTTGAGTCGGTTCTGACTCATTGCCACCCAGTCTAGGGTTTCTGAGGAGCACAAACTGACCTTGAGCTTGAGTGGTTATCATGTGACGCCACACCAGGACTCCTTAACTCTCAAGCTTTACTTCCTCATATTGTAATTGTTGTTGTTATGTGCCGAGGAGTCGGTTCCGACTCATAGCGACCCTGTACAGGGTTTCCAAGGCTGTGAATCTTTACGGGAGCAGAAAGCCTCATCTTTCTCCCGCGGAACAGCTGGTAGTTTCGAACTGCAGACCTTGAGGTTCGCAGCCTGATTTGTAACCTCTATGCTACCAGAATATTGTAATTCTGAGGAGGTAAAACAGATCTTAAAGAGCTCTGGTGGTGCAGTAGTTAATTGTTTGCTAACCAAATGGTCAGCAGTTCAAACCACCAGCTGCTCCACAGGAGAAAGATGTAGCAGTCAGCTCCTGGAAAGATGAAACCCACTGTGATCAAGTCAATTCTGACTCATAGTGATCCTGTTATCGTTGTTAAGTGCTATCAAGTTGGTTCCGACTCATAGCCACCCTGTTTTTAGGTTTTCTAAGGAGTGGCAAATGTGTTTGAACAGCTGACCTTACAGTTAGCACCAGTGCTTATCCTACAATGCCGTACCAGGACTCCAGTAATCCTATTACAGACTTAGAAACCCAATGGAGGGCAGTTCTTCCATTCTGACCTGTATGGTCACAATGAGGGTGAATCAACTCAACGGCACATAACAATGAAAGAGAGCTTTTACAGGCTAGGAAATAATTTATTCCTTGTCTGATGCTAAGCATCCTCTCACCTTGAGCCCCAACTCAGATTGTGCTCATCTTAAGTCTGCTTGGAAAGCATCTCTCGAGTTAGTGGCATTTTCATCATCTGTTTCTTTTTAATAATACTTAATAATTTAATATTTAACAAGAATGGGGAATTGGGAAGTGGGAAGAACTGGGGCAGGGTGAAGACTTGTAAGTTGATGTCCAATCCAGAGTAGTCAAGGATCCCTGGTGGTAGTGCAGTGGTTAAGCACTTAACTTCTAGTCACAAAAGGTCAACAATTCAAACCTATCAGCTCCTCCTTGGGAGAAAAATGTGGCTGTCTGCTTTGTAAAGATTATAGCCTTGGGAACCCTATGGGGTAGCTCTACTCGGTCCTATAGGGTCTATGATTCAGAATTGACTCAGTGGCACACAACAACAATGTGTCAGTCATCCCTGTTAGCAAAGTGCTTCTCTGATACCTGAAAATTGAAAGGAGCAGGGTTTATCTTCCAGCTTTTCTTCCTGCTGCCTGAATCTTGTGTAAGAGACTCACTATGAAGTACTGAACTGTAACAATGTTGGCCCAGCTAGAACTCTCCTTAGCAACCTTCAAAATAAAACAGATGTTGTCAGCACCAAAAGGAGATTTTTTCATCTCTGGAGCTGAATTTGTTTCACAGCTCTGATCCTCAGTGCATTGTGTGGGGCTGTCATATCCCATCGTGCACTCTTCATGCCCCCACCCCACACACAAGCTTCTGAATCTATCTGAGCTTGAGTTTGTTTTGTTTTTCCAGAAAGTGCTGCCTGCACTCCAGTTTGAGGACCTCTTTGAAGTACTAATGCATTGATCCTGGCATACCCAGCAGGGGGACACAGGTCCTGTCAGGAGACAGGAGGGGTCCTCCTAGGAGGGAAAGGACACTTTTAAACTGGAAGGGATTTGTTGGTGGTTGTGTTCTCCAAAAGAGAGAGAGAAGAAATAAAGAGCTGAAATTGTGGGAAAGATTTAGTTGTTATCCCAAGGAACCTGCCATGTGTTTTTCAGTGGAGTACCAAAACCATTGTGAAAGTCATCAGCTTACCATTCCCTGACTAATATTAAAGTATATATAGCCCCAGAACTCACACAGCATTTTGCATATCCTAGGTCATCAATAAATACTACTTGAATGTATAAATAAATGGGACCAAAATATGGATTATGTTAAAATATGTGCATAGAAAACCAAGACATGCTATCAAAAATACTCATGTTCATTCAGCTCATGGATGAGCCGCTGGTACTGTCAGATAAGCACACTTAATTGGAGTGGAAGTGGTATAAAAACCAGCCGCATTCTTCTTTCTTCTCTTAAACCCTCTCTCCTCTTTCTCTGGGCCTATGACTCACACCATTACAGCTGCTTGGACATTTGTCAGAAGGCGAGTTGGGCAAAAGTACAGCAGCAAATCTTTTTCAAGACTTCCCCAGTTGAATTCTTTGCCCAGAATCCTGTGGGCCCGGTCTGACGCTATGTGGTTGCCTCTACATGTGTAATGTGCATGTATATTCATATGTGGATCCCATACCAAGTATAGCTTGGGGCTGGCGCTGTTTGCGGTCACTGAGAAGTGGCCAAAATAGACAGAAAGACTGGTGGTATGCCAAATAACTTGATTTATGTAGGCCATCTTATTTTTGTAAGAGTGTGAAGTGTTATCATGGAAGAGTTCTTAAGAAATCTGGTTCCTCATTCCGGTATTAACACAAAACTCTCAATTTTGCTACTTCACAGATTAAGGATAATGATGATCATTTATTGAGCACTTATTGTGTGCCAAGCAAGGGACTAAGTACTTTATATACATGATCTCTCTTAATCCCCACTACAAACATGAGAGGTGCTGCTACCATCTCTATCTAAAAACAGCTTAAAAAAATTTTTTTTTGTTTATAATTTTCAAGGTAAAGAATTAGGGAAACACTCAACTGGTGTTCTTCCCTGAGCTGCGTGACGCCAGATAAGGTGTTTGGCACTGGGGATTCACTTCCAAGATGGTTTCCTCACACACATGACTCAGTGCTTCTGGGCTTCGCTCTCTCTTTCCACGTTGTGTCGTTGCCTTCAGAGCCTTTCCACTGAGGAGAGGGCTTCTCACAGCATGGTCTTCTTAGGGTGCCCACACTTCATACATGGTGACTGTTTTTCAAGAGCAGGAAGTGGATGTTACCAGGCTAGTTAAAAGCCTGGAACAATCACAAGTCACTTTCCCTGTTTCCTATTGGTCACAGTCAACAGAGAGGCCACTCAAATTCAAGGGCATGCAGAAGTAGTTTCTTAATGGGAGTATAGAGAAGTCATGTTGCAGGAAGGCATGTGGGGTTGGAACGATTGCTGTGGCCCTGTGGAAAATAGAATATACTACAATAGTTAGTGGTGTGTTTTTGTTTTATTTTGTTTTAATATCACAAGAGATACTTAGGGTGACTTGGAGAGAATTTGGCTCAGAGTCTTTTTTGTCCACAGTATTGTCATCTTCTTATGTTTAAACATATTTGGTCTTGGGAATGAGCTTCACTTGTTGTAGTTGTTATTTCTCAGTAAACATATATATAAAACACAGCATTTGCCAACTCAGCATTGTTTAGATATACAATTTAGTGATGCCAGTTAATCATATGCGAACATCACCCATAATCATTGTGAAATTTCCTTTGTCATGCACAGAAACTCACTATTTCCTAAACAATGATTTATTCCCATCCCCCTGTTCCTGGTGACCACTAATAAATTTTGGTCTCTATACATTTGTCTGAAATCTTAGTATGGTGCAGTAATGAGTCGGAACCTATTCGAAGGCACTTAACACCACCAACAACATTCATTTGCCTGGATTCCTGGTGTGGCGCTGTAGGTTAAGCACTGGACCACAAGGTTGATTTGAACTGCAACTCTGGCATTTCAAACATACCAACTGCTATACAGTCGCTATAAGCCTGAACCAACTAGATAGTACTTAACAGCAACAATACATTTGCCTATTCTTAAATAAGCTTCACTTTTTTTTATTCTTTCTTTCTATTTTAAGCAGCTGTCTTACTCTATTTCATGATTTTGTGGGTCAGCAATTTGGGCAGGACTGAACTGGCCACTTCTTCTTTTGCATATGGCAGTGACCAGGAAGACTTGGTGATA